GGGCTTGGTACAGAGTGGGCAGCAGGGCAGCGGGCACCTCGCGCAGGGCCAGGGAGGAGGGCAGCTGGGGCCTGCCTGGGCTGGGCCACAGGAGGGAGAGGAGGCACACCGAGCCTCTGCAGTGCTCCCCATCGGGGCTGTGGAGTAGAGGCGGGGGAGGAGGTCTGGGCTGCAGCCGGGAGGCTGGGGAGGGGAGGGTGCCTCAGAAGGGGCCTTGCAGCCACCACTCTCAGGGTGCTGACCTTCCCCCCGAGACAGACAGGGCTGGAGAACTGGAGACCTGTCACCAGGACAGGATGCTGGGGACAGGCTCTCACACCCAAACAGAGCACAGATTGGCACAGCTTTGGGGTTTGAAACTTGGGGTTATCTGTTAATCTAAAACAATATTGATATACCTTCCCTAAGCAATTTCCCTAAGTACTTTCTAGCACTATAGCATTGTGAAACACCTGCAGTCACACACACACACACACATTAACCATAGCATTTTTTTATACTGCAAAAAAATATGTTTCTAGAAGGAAACAATCAAATATTCACCATTAGCAGATTGGTTTCATAAATTATTCCTATAAAGCCATTGAAAAGAGTGAGGGGTCCAGGTCAGGCTTCTCGGATGTGAGCGTGCCACAAATCATCCCCCAGGACGTTAGATGCAGATTCTGCCCCGGGGCTCTGGGACGGCCCAGGACGCTGCGTTTCTATTAGGCCTCCAGGTGGCGCTGCGACCACGGAGGGGCCTTAACCCCGTGTCGCCCCAGCCAAGGGAAACGGCAGCACCATGTACCCTGTTTTGGCAAAAAATAATCGCGGCACAGGGTAACATACATGCTAAATATGCGGAGGGACATGTACTTCTAGAGGGGAGGGCTCAAGGTGGGCTCCCCTTTCATGCCACACATAACTATAATAGTTCCATTTTTTATATAGTTCCATGTCTGAATTATGTTGGCATCAGAAAAACAATATTTTCAAATAACCAATTAATAAATTGATTAATTGTAACAAAAACAAAATTTGTGAACCTCAGTTAAGGAAGGACTGGAGATCTGTGTCCCCCAGAATTCATACACTGAGCTCTAGAAACCAGGGTGCTGGTATTTGGAGGGGGCTCTTAGGTGCTTAGGTCGTGAGGTGGGGCGCCCGTGGCGGGAGCAGCGACCCCGGAAGGGAGACCCCAGAGGTCCCGAGTCCCTTCTGACAAGTGGGATCGCAGCGAGCACACTGCCAACCCAAGAGTCCCTCACGGACCCAAAGCCGCCAGGCTCCTGAGCCGTGGGGATGACTGTGTCATTAGGCCCCCCAGTCCGTGCTGCTTGTCACAGGTGGAAAAGGACACCGAGATAAAGGTCACACTTTACACTGTACGTCGCAGTACTCTTCACACATCATGCGCGCTCTCATTTGAAAGGCCGGGCCCCAGCCAGCCACTCTCTCTAGGCTGTGATCCAGCAGCCTTCTGTCTGCACCGCACCTGACCCACCTCAGTCAGGCCTGAGAGCCTGGCCACCTTCTCAAATGCACAGTGATTGAGGCCACCCCGCAGCACTGCCATGACCCCCCCAACCTAAAACACTGCCACAACGTCCCTTTGCTCCCCGGAGAGAACGCACCACAGCACAGGTCGCCAGACCTTTCTCGCCGGCCCTGCCCGTGTCTCCAGCTCGCGTTTTGCGCATGCACCCACGTGCTGATGCTCTGGCCCTGCCTCTTGCCAGAGTGCTCTGTGCACGCATCAGGCCCCTGTCACTGGTGGGCTGTCTAGGTTTGCATTGCTTGTCTTGCAACCAGACGTTCAAATCTCCTACTTCCCCACCATGGAATTTTCCCCAGAACCAGGGAAATAACAGGTCCTCGCCACCTGCTGCCTGGATGTCTGGGTGCTGGGGCTACAGCCCTCTGAGGTTTGGAGATGCAGGGCTCCTCCAGGGGAACAGCAGCCAGAGTAACTGCTGCAGGGCCTCCCTCACAGTAGGATCTTGGAGTTGAAAAATACCCCCAAGATTTGCCCATGTCAGTTCCTCAGAAGCCTGAGAAGTCCCAGCTTCTGAGAAAAGCAGCCTCCACCCTGTGGCAGCCATGCTGCCATCAGCGGCCTGGACGCCAGGCCAGAGCTCAGAACGTGGGCGGATGCAGAGGACTCACCAGCACCAGCTGATCCCAGACTTGCTGCGTTACTGAAGCATGAGCGAATGAACTTAATTCACCTGGTTCTTGTCCAGTGAGGTAGTGACAAGGTTTCTGCTCCCTCTCCCCAGTTAGTACCAAAGAAATTACTGGCAAGAGAGAGGCATGGACCCCAGGGAGCAGTAGCAGAAACGAGACCCTGGAGAGAGGGACAAGGGTGTGCGGCCTGAGGGCGAGGACAGGAGGACCAGCATTCTCTTCCCTGCTCTGGCCTCTCCCTCGCATGGCCTTGCACACTCATCTTGCCCCATTGGGTGGAAATTGGCCACAACCCTCTGGGCAGGGCACGAGTGGGTCAGCACCCCAGCCCTTGAACTGGGGCTACAGCTGGGAGATGCTTTCTCCCCTGACCCTTCTCCCCAGGAATTTAGGAGGCAGTGGTCCGGGCAGGTGGGTGCAGCTGAGAGCTCTCTACACTGGAGCCTGTTCATCAGACACGGCTCATGTCTTCAGGCCTGGAAATATTCACCCCAGACAGAGAGTCTGATTCCCTAGGTAGACGAGCTGTAGATAAAATGAAGGCTCCTGTGGCCGGGATTCTCACCTGGCCCTGGTCGGCTGGCTCACTACACATGTGTGGGCAGTACGTTGTTATTGACTCTATGTAAAGAGCTCCACCCAGTGCTCTGGGTGACACGGTGGCAGGGATGCACAGCTGCAGGAGAGCAGAGCAGAACCTGGAGTGGTGGCAGCGCCAAGGACAGTGATTGAGATGGCTACAGGGGGCAGAGAGGCCCAGAGGCAGAGACCAGCTTGCTGCCTGCAGACTCGCTCTGAGTGGACGGGATTCTAGTGATTGACCTGCCACTGTGGGAATAAAGTTGGGTATAAACCCTTTCACCCCAAGAACGTTCTACTGTCATTTCTTCGGTGACATTGAATCCATAGTGAACTTTCCCGGGGCTGAAACTCAGTGGCAGGACACAAGCCCTCACAGGGAGGTATCTGAGTAGGACCACAGCCCTGAAATAAAGATGACAAAGGGGCACACTAGCAGCCTTGGACATAGAATAAGGGGAGACAGACAGTCCAGGAGCTTAGGGCCAGCCTGGCAGAGCCACTGAGGAGAATAAGAAAACCAGCAGAAGCTCTGATACAGAACAAAAAAAAGGAGTTATTTTTTAAAACCTGATTGATTTTTGAAACAGCCCTGTGGGGTAGGCACTAGCATCCTCCCATTTTGCAGTTGGAGAAACAGACCCTTGGGAAGTGTGGGTAAAATTGCAATGTTTCCAGGATCTCTCACCTGGCCTTAGTACATCTCCATATCAATAGGTGATACAGGGGGTTAGAGAGCAAGTGGGCACCTGGACCCGAGAGGTATTTTTTGGGTCTCTTTGTAGCCGGATCATGAGAAACATGGGTAAGTAGAAGTAGATGACTGCTTATAAGCAATAAACATGTTTTTCCCACTTTATTTCTCCCTCTGACTGATTTTGGCTTCAAAGGTTATTTGCCGTGAGCTGGGAACATATTCCCATACCCCCTCCCCCCAGTTACAGGAAGGTTGAACGAGGTCACACAGCTAGTAAGTGGCGAAGTCAGGATTTGAACCCAGTCCCAGAGTCCTGGCCACTGAACACTCTGAGTTTTGAACTTTTATTCAGTTGTCAGTTTTGTCCTTCCTGAAGTTTTTCTCTTCTCTTCACCATTAAGCCATGAGTACTATCTGCTTTTACTTCCTGCCTTTCTGTCTGATGAAAGTTTCCTAGTACAAATTACCAAAAACTGGGCAGCCTAAAACAACAGAAATGGAGTTTCTCAGTCCTGAAGCTGGAAATCACTGTGGGGACAGGGCTGGTTCCTCTGGGCTCCACGGGGAATCTGCTCCAGGGGCCTCAGAGTTCCTCTGCTTGCAGACACATCCGCACCTCTGCCTCTGCTGTCACACTGTCACATGGCCCCCTCCCTGTGTGCAAGTCCAGATTCCCCTCTTGCAATAACACCTGTTATTGGATTTAGGGCCCACCCCAATCCAGGAAAACCTCTTTTTAATTTACTTACATCTGCAAAGGTGTGTATTTTCAAATAAGGTCACATTCACAATTTCTGACAGACATGGATTTTGGGGGGGGATGCTAACTCATCCCAGTAACGTGTCAGTCAATAGAGGAATAAATTCATGGAACATTGTCTCTCCTGAGGAGGACTGTCCCCCAGGCACATTCACTCTGGATTCAATGAGACTGAATAACGATGGAACTTTGTGGGTAATAAACAAGCTTTATTTTCAGGGTGGCAGATTGAGCACTGGAATCACATCTGCCTCTGGAAAGTTTGCAATCCGTCTCCGTCTCTATGCAGTGCCTCTCGGCCTCTATGCACACCCCCTCCCCCGGCACTGGGTGGGGCTTCTCATACAGTAACACAGACGATTATGGCTCACTGCCAACAGGTGTGCTGGCATATGCCTATGAGCATTGCACATGTACAGTGAGCAAGTAGGTTAGGGTCAGGTGAGGATCCTGGGTATGGTAACTTCCATTCTCCCTACAAACATCATCCCATATTATACGAGGAAACCCTAATAAAGTATGAGAGTCATTACAGTACATGGAGGCCTGACACTAAGGGAAAAAAGGAAGTTTCAGAATAGTGAGCTAAGCATTAAGTTTCCCTTGTACGATGCACCCAGAAAACATTACCTAGTTTTCCTGTGGATATATACGCACACACGAAAACTCGAGCACGTCTGAAGATTCTCTGCGCAGCGATACATGCAATTGATATATGCGGTTGCCTCTGCGCACGCGTGAAGAGGCGCTATTTCCATAGTTTGTAAGTTCCATTTATTAAACAACGAGCGCTCGCCACCCTATTAAACGAGCGTGCGCGCGCCCGGCAGGCGGTTCCGTCTACCAAACGAACGCACGCGCGCCGGCCGCACGGTTTGCGTCCAGGACTCTGAGAGGAAGCACGTCTTCCTTCTGTGCAGTTCCCGGCACTGCCGCCCTCCCGTCAGCAGGGGACGCTGCACCGCCCGCCGCGAGCAACTCTCCTCCCGAAAGTCTCGCCCCGGCCGGAAGTCAGGTGCCGGCGCGTCCGAGAAGATGGCGGCATCCACGAGCGGGGGAGCGTTGGGTCGGGGAGGCACCCGGGGACGCGGGGCCCGCAGGCAGCGCGGACGCGGGCGCGGGCCGGGGGCCCTGAAGCGGCTCAGGCTTGCGGTGGAGGAGTTCCTGCAGGCCACATCCGAGGGCGAGAGCCCAGGCGGCCGCGCGGGGCCCCGGGAGGAGGGGCGCGGCCGCCCCGGCGCGAGGAGAAGCCGCAGGGAGCTGAGGAAGCAGAAGCGACAGCTGAGGAAGGCGCGCCGGCTGCAGAGGACCGTGGGCTCCGCGCAGGGCCCGGGCCAGGCCGGCGTCGGGACCGCGAGCGGCCCGCGCGCGGAGAGGCAGAGCGGCCGGCCGCCCCCGCGTCGGACCCCGCCGCAGACCGAGGGTCCGCGACCGCCTCACGCCGGGGCCCCGGCCGCCGGCTCCCGCGCCGCCCCGGCCCGGGGTCCCCCCGGAAAAACTGGGGCCGCCGCCGCCGCCCGGAAACGCGCGCTGCTGGCGGCCAACGAGGAGGAGGACCGAGAGATCCGCAAGCTGGAGCGCTGCCTCGGCCTGAACCGGCGCAGAAGGAAGGGCGGCGGCAGCTCCGTGCCCCTCACCTTTGCCCGCGACGGGCTCGATTACATCCTGGGGGCCCTGGAGTCCGGGAGCAGCGGCTTGTGCGACGGCAGCAGCGAGGAGGAGGGCGGCGCCGGGCCGACGCTCCCCGGAGGTGGCTTCGAGCGCGACGGCGGGGACGAGGGAGACGAGCCGGAGGCGGAGGCGGGGAGGGAGGAAGCCGCGGGAGCGGCGCGGGGCGGGAGCGGCAAGACGGTCCGTTTTGCGGCGGATGAAGACAGTGGAACTGCCTCGGAGGACGTGGACACGGCAGATCGGGTACGCGGAGCAAGTGGGGCCTCCCTGCGAGCCCCGGCGGGACGGCCGGGCCCCGAGCCGCGGGTGCGGAGGTCGGGCTGGAGGGTCTGCCCGGTGCCCTAGTGCCCGCCGCGGAGCGGAAGGAGAAAGCGCCTCCGGGCCTCTCCGCCCCAGGGGCTCCCGGGCCGTCCGCCGCTCCCTCGGTTGCTGACGGCCTCTGGCTCCCCGCCCGCCCTGTTTTGTGGGGCCTGTGCTGTGGCCCAAAGGGGTGCGACACCCCCGGCCCCTTAGGCCTTTTCCTTTTCCTCTCCGCCGCTCCTGGGCTTTCTGGAGCCTTTTCGAGTCTCAAACTCGAGCTAGTCTGCAGCCCCCCTTGGGCGGCGTCCCCGCCGAGGGCCTGGTCCGCGGCGGGGCCTTCGGGGGCGGCCCCCTGCCTGCCGGAGCGCGCGCTGGAAGGCGGCCGGAGGGAGTTGCTCGTGTGCCCCCCGCGTCGCGCCGTTTCAGCATTCTGCCTCCAACGCAGTATTCCTCTGCCTGGGGGGCCTGTCCCCGTTTTCTCACTGGGTGAATCTGGGTGCCAAACATCTCTTAGAATCTTTTCCTCATCTTGGGTAATGAACTGGCTCCGCTTCTGTCCCTGGTGCCTTGGTACCTGGCACCTTGTGAGCAGCCCCTAAGTGCTGTCAGTTCCTGTTAAAACCTCATTTTTTTTCTTCTATTTCTAAGTTTTCTTGCACAGCCTGTTGTCTAAATAACACGCAGTCTGAACTAATGGGCGTCTCTAGAGTAGCAGCTTCTATGTACATAAATGTGCTTTTCCAAACTAAGTTTAAGCTTCCTAACAAGGATCATGCCTTCCAGCTGTTTGTGTCCTAAAGCCTCGTCACATAGGTGCCCAAGGAGTGCTGGTCAACGACGATGATTTGTGACCCTAATTGATAGTCTAGGAAAGTGAGCAGCAGACTGATTTTGATTTTTTCATGTAAATTTAGATATATTTTGAACAAGGTTTGAAAATTACCTTAGAACATGTTTCTCCAAAACGAGTGGTATGTTTTATTTAGGTGTTTGTGTATAGCCGTGCTCACCATAAATTTAGCCCAGGCAAAAGTGTGGAACACAGGGCCTGGGAGCAGATACTGGAGGGGCACAGCCAGGCCTGAAGAAGCAGAGGGGAAGCAAGATGCTGAGCTGTACTGGTGTTCATGTAAGTGGCGACGCCCAGCAGAGCGGCATCTTGTCCAGGACCACAGTGGGCACTCGGGGAAGAGCTGATGTTTATTAAGCAGCAGCAGTCAGTGGACACAGCTTCTACCAGTCTGGGGAATTGAACACCTAAATGTGAATACGGCAAGGGGAAAAGTGGGATTTGTTCAATCTAAGTTCTTTGTCATTCATTTTGGTGCTTTAAAGCAGAGTCTTTGTGAAAATGGTGAAAAGTATATCCCACCTCAAGTGAGGCAAGCTGAGGAGACGGTGGATATTCAGAAAAAGGAGCAACTAGAAAGGCTGAAGAAACATGTCAAAGGTCTAATTAACAGGTAACCTTGCTAAAGAGACCATTTTCTAAAAATACAGAAACTCTGAAATTAACCCCTAAGTGGTGGGGTGGGGACTGTCACTGTGGACTGGCTCCCTTCTGTCCTTTCTCGGTGCAGCCAGGCTCACACATTGAAAGGCAGGATGCCCGCCTTCCCCATTCGGGACTTTGAGTCCTTCAGAGTGTGAAAGCAGCGCTGTGCCTGCGTGGCTGTGCCGAGGGGTCCCCAGACTGGGCCGGCATTCTGGTCAGTCCGGGAACAGTGTGGTTGGGACAGCTCTTACTCTGGTGGAGGGCCACACTCCAAGCAGGAGCTTGGCACTGCCCTGGCCCGCTGCTCTGGTCTGTGTGTGTGCAGCCCCGGCAGTGTCTCACAGGAAGCTTCCAGCACCCACCCACCCACCATCAAGACAGCTGCCCCAGCACCACTTGGCTTTCTGTGCCACCCCATTATGGCTATACCCACCTCCTCCCTGCCATGCTTTTCTAAAAGTGCCTTTTTAACTTAAAAAAAATTCTATGAGGCATCCTGGAATTTTACCAAACATACCACCTTGTTGTTTAGGGTCAGCACAGGTGCTGTGTGTGACCTGTGTGCATAGACACCCTTCCTGTCCCCATCCAGTACACTGAGCAGCCTTTCCCAGTGTCAGGGGCTAAAGATTTTTATGCCAGCATCAAAGTGAGAAAGTTGGAATTTTTCTCAGCACATACTGATGCACTTAGGATGGTCCCTGCCTCTGCCTGGGGACACCAGTTCAGGTGCCAGTGGAGTCCTCTTACAGTCAGAGTGATCTTAACGAGAATCCCATGTGTGCCTTACTGTGGCCACGTTTCAGCTGGACTGACAGCCGGGAGGTTACATCAAGTTTCCAGAAGACTGGGTTTAGCACGGCACATGGAGTTAGCACAGCAGGTTAAGAACTGTCGAGAGTCAAACAGGCACGTGAAATAGGGTGTACAGTAGTATTGATAACTTCTTTTCTTAACTGACTTAAACTTAGAAACTTTTCCGACTTTGAAACATCACCGTGCCCTGTCTTTCCAATGGCCTGCAGGCTGAGTGAACCAAACATGGCCTCCATCAGTGGACAGCTAGAGGAGCTGTACATGGCCCACAGCAGGAAGGACATGAACGGCGTGCTGACCGACGTCCTCCTGAGTGCCTGTGCGCCGGGCACGGCCATGCCCAGCAGGTTGGTGATGGAGCACGTCCTCTTGGTCAGCATTCTTCACCACACAGTCGGCACTGAGGTAGGGCTCCCATCGCCCAGGCTGCTTGGCAGTGCCCTCCTTTGGGCCAGAGGCCTGTTTGCACTCATACTGCTTCGTCCACATCGCGTTATCCTAGCCCACATTCAAGGTCCTTGAGTTCCGTCCATTCCAGTGTTTCTTTTCTGCCTGTGGGTTTATTTTCCTCTGGCTGAGGTCCTGGGCTTGCCTTCACTTTCTTTGTATTCCCCTTGACAGGGACTTAGTTCAGATGTTCAGAATACAGAGCTTTGTAGGGCCTTACTGCCCATGTTTTGCATTGGGTGAGAGATCATTTTTCCTAAGTAAGAAGGCCACCAGACTCGGGTAAACGATGCTGGCTGAGGAGACATGTGACAGGGCCTAGGCTTGGAGCCCCCTAAGCCCCCACAGGTAGGTCATGGACCTTCAGTGCCCACGTGCCTGTGCAGTGGGGCCTTTGTCAGGATTGAATTGAACAGCATCTGTAAAGTAGCAGCTCAGTGCTGAGTGTCCAGTAGGAGCTGCTGAGCAAATGGTGTTCTCCACCCCACCCCCTCATGTTCTTCGCCCTTGCTCAGTGATCCTCTGGTCAGCATTGGAGGCAAGTAGGGGTGGCTCTGGTTATGGTAGGAAAAGGCCCTCTCCCTCCACCTTTCAGCGGGTGTTCCACTCTCTGGGTGTAGCCGATTCCAGGGCGTGGAAGGTATCGGGGAGGGGGAGTAGTGGCTGATTCAGTGAATGAGGCTTGATCTCTCAGGTGATGGTCACATTCAGGAGAACGTGTGGATCCTTCAGGTCCTTGTGGAGGTGGCAGCTCTCGGGTGGATTCAGTTTGCCTCCCACTAACCTGCCTTCCAGAAACGGGCCTCAGCAGCGCAGCGTCGTGCAGGCCCAGTCCCTGGGCTGTTAGCACGTCTGGTCCTCACTGGCCCTGCAGGCCACGCGCTCAGCTTTGCTTCCCAGAGGCAGCAGAGCCTCCGGACAGCCAGGTGGTGTTCCCCAGCTCACAGGCTGTTAAAGTGCCCTGGGACTCGCCCTCGGCTCCAGAGCCCTCGGTTCCACTGCCTCGCTCTGCGCATCCGTTTCCCTTTCCTGCTGTGTGCTCTTAGTCACAGTCTGAAAACCCACAGGAGCGCCAACACGCCTTCTCCTTCGGGCTGTTTGAGGCCCTGCAGTGTGGGCGGGGAGGATGCTCTCCAGTCCAGAACACGGCTGTGCCACGAACTGGCTGTTGCCAGGTGACCTCTGCCGCCATGTCTTCCTCTGTGCAGTTGGGTTACTGTGTTCAGGAGCCTGGCCCATAGAAAGGGCTCATTAAAGGTTAACCTTCCACACGACACGGAGGGTGTTCTCAGGTCGAAGCTCTGAAAGTCCGCACTGGCCTTTCCTGCCTGCAGGCCTCATTGCTCTTGTCTAGAGAACCTTCCCATCCACGGCTTCACATCTAGCAGAAGCCACATCATGGCTTTCAAAAACCCAAAAGGGGGTTTTGAAAGATGCAGACTGTAGGGCCTGCAGGGACTGGGGCTTGGGGCAGAAGAGAGAAGTGTAGGCCCTGAGTCTTCTGGACAGCCCCGCTGTCCTCTGCTCCGGCTGCGCTCATGTCCATGCCGAATGCTGTGAGCCCCTCTGCATCACAGAGCACAAGGGAGTCAGGACGCCGAGTGCAGTGCCATTTCAGGGCTCCCTGTGTGCCCAGGCCTCCTGGTCCTGCTGCTGTGCTTCGTAATCGAATTGCTTTTAGCACAGACTGTATTTCATTGAGTTTTAATAGAAGATATAGACCCTGACTCTCCGTGATGTATCAGGAATTCACTGGACTTGAAAATACGAGATCATTGATATGTCTTCTCACTCCCACCTTCACTGGTAGCATGAAGCACAAGCACAGTGACTGGCCCAGGGCACGTCAGGGTGGTGCTTTAGCTGTGACATCCACTGACTCTCCTGCCGATGCAGTGAGCCCTCTGCCTCCATGGAACTCCTCTCAGCTCCGCTGAGAATGCCCTACAGGCTCTCCAAGGATGCGGAGGCACGTTACAGCGCTCCACGTGTCACTTACTGACGGGCCTCTGCATTATTCACAAATAAAAAGTGCAGTCTGTTCATATTTGTGTTAAATCCCCAAGGCAAAATTAGTATATATGGATAAGTAACTTCAGCAATAGGATGATAGTTTGTTCTGTTTTTAAATGTTACAGTAACTTTTATTCTAAATGCATTGAATGGAAATCTAAAATTTTGACAGGTTTTAATGTAAAAATTCTGTGTGATTGAAAACATACTTTTATATTTTATGTCTGAATTTTTATTGATGTCTGCAAGAATTTTAATTCTTTTTTAACTTAGATTTGCACACAACGTTAGTGGCCCTAACAGGAGAGTGTATTCTTCAGATTTATCTCCGTGAGTTGGGAATCTACAGGTTAAACTGATTTTTTCAGTCTTGGTTCCTACAAACTAGCAGTTGGGTGGGTGCAGGCCCTCAGAGCCTTAAGCTGATTCTGTCCAGCCTCACTAACCTGCTCTGCCCCAGGATCTCCTGTTCAGTCACCTCTCATCTCCCGTCACCGGCCCCGCCTGCTAGTTCTACGCCGGGTCAGTCTCGTGCCCAGTCTCTTTCATGGGTCCATCGTGGATGGCCATGTTGATTGAGATCATCGTTTCTCCTCACTCCTGGCCGCCGCTGTCCCTGCATCTGTCTTCTCCCTCTAGGCTCACTGAGCCTGGGCTGTGAGTGTGTTAGATAGTAGTACACTTTTGGAGCTAGAGATATGTTCTTAACATTTTTAACATTTTATTTGTCCAAGGAACCAGATAGCTGATGACCCCAAATCGCCACCATGTTGATTTTAAGGACAAGAGGGCTCATGTAGGCAGGAGGCTTGAGCCCCGTGGCAGGTGCTCCGTGGTCACCCTCTGTTCGGTTTCCCTCAAGCACATTTTTACAGTCCACGCCCAGTTGAAGTTCCCTACGTGTATATACTTCCTGTGTCTATGTCACCAGCACCCGCTTAGGGCTGCTGCGGGGGTAGGAAGGGCTCCGGGGATGGCTGGGCGGCGCAGCTGACATTGCCGATGTGCTCTGCTCACCTGGGCAGGTTGGAGCTCACTTCCTGGAGGCGGTGGTGAGGAGGTTCGACGGTGTCTATCGGCTCGGCAGTGAAGGCAGAGAGAGTGAGAACCTGCTCACCATCGTCGCCCACCTCTACAACTTCCACGTGGTGCAGTCGCTCCTTGTCTTTGACATTTTGAAAAAACTTGTTGGAACTTTCACAGAAAAAGATATTGAACTGATCCTGTTGACGCTGAAAAACGTGGGCTTTTTGTTGAGGAAAGACGATGCTTTGTCACTTAAGGAACTGATTGCTGAGACTCAGGCCAGGGCCAGCGGGGCTGGCAGCAGGTTCCAGGACCAGACCCGGGTATGTGTGTGGCTTCCTAGGCACCTGATGCTCACGGGTCTGGGTTGAATCCTGCATCTCGTTTCCAAACAGTGCCCATCATCTCCTATTTGTCTGGTTTTGTGGCTTCGTCTTAGTATGGGAACAAAGAATCGATTTATTTAACATCCATTTTTAATTGTGGGGCTCAGGTGTCAGCCGGCTTGGCCTTGTGGCTCTGCCCGGAAGAGCGACCCGCCCCCAGCCTCCCAAGCCTTGGTTCCCTCGCCAGGAGACGGGGCTGAGACGGGTCAGGAAAGCCTAGAGGGGAGGGCAGGAGGTGTGGCTCGTTCAAGAAGGGAGACAAGTTCGTGTTCCTGTGGGGAGCCTGCCGGGGAGCAGGCTGGGACGGCAGCGGCTGGCCGTGGGGCCTTGTAAACCCTCTGGAGGAGCCTGGGGTCTTATTCTAGAGGGATGTGAAGGGCTCTGAGCATGTAAATGCTGCGACGTCTTCATGCTAGTGGTCACTAGCTACAGCGTGGGCAAGGGAGGTGTCAGGGCTGGGAGAGGCTGCTGGGGCGCTGGGGTGGGTGTGGATTTAGGGATTAAAAGTGACCAGACTTGATGTGGGTTCAGGGGCAGGGTGGAGGTGTAGGAAAGGAGGCGCTGTGTGGTCCCGGGCTCCCAGCTTGGGCCGTCAGGCGGAGACAGAAGCGGCGGGTAAGTCGCCCTTTGAAAACCCTGCCGTGAGTGCCAGGTGGGCAGTGCCGAAGCGCAGCTCCGGGAGCCATGGGTGCGGGAGGAGTTGCTGGCGTACAGTGGGCAGCAGACCTGGCCTCCAGGTTCCCCGCCACCAGCGTGGGGCTGTGTTGGGGGGCAGAGGGAGAGCGTGAGGAAGGCTCTGGGAGCTGGGCCTCGAGCATCCCAAGGAAGGACTTGTCCCTTGTTATAGGAGCAGAGGTCAAGTTTGAAACGAAGTGGGCAAGTCAGGAGGTAGACCCCTGGTCACCCAGGGCTGGAGCATCCGGGGGCTTGGGGAGCGGCTATAAGGGGTTGGAGTTTCCCCTGGGGTGGTGGAAATGCTCTGAAATTGATGGTGGCAGCACCACGCGGCCCTGCATGCTGGTCATTCACTTTGAATGGTGAGTGTCGTGGCGTGAATCACACCTCAGGACACGTTAGCCCCTGGGGAAATCTCAGAGGAGGGCATACAGTCAGAGGCGGTAGGGACTGGAGGAGAGGACAGTCTCTGGGTAGTGTTTCAAGTCCCCGTTGAGGTCAGTGATGGAGTCACATGATGATGCCCTGCACCCCGGAGCCGCGTGCTCAGGTCTGTGGAGGCTCTGCTGAGTGCCCCCACCGTGGGCACCTGGCTGGTTTGTTGATTCCCAAGCTGAAGGGTGAGTCCTTTAGACTATTTGAAATGATGGCTTTTTCTCTGTTTTTATGCTAGATTCGGTTTATGCTGGAGACGATGCTGGCACTGAAGAACAACGACATGCGTAAGATTCCAGGCTATGACCCTGAGCCTGTGGAGAAGCTGAGGAAATTGCAAAGAGCTCTGGTAAGCCACCTTCACTTACGTGTCCGGAGCGTTCTGGTCTACGTGAGCCCGTCCTGAAAACCAAGATGATGTCAGAGCTACAGGTGGGGTGCCACCTCTGGTCACTAGGAACCCCAGGGTGGGGAAAGGAGTGTCGGTCCCCGTGCTGAGACCCTCCGGGGTGCCTGCGGCTGGGGGGTCCCTGTGAGTGGGCGCCCCCACACGTAGCCCACAGTGCTAGGCCCACCTTGTGTTGGGATTGCAGTAGAACACTGGTCACTGAAGGAGGCCCGGGGCCTGGGTCCCACCAGACCATGTCGCTGCCGTGGCGGGCCCGTAGCTGAAGCCCACCACCTCCCTGGCAGGGCGAGTCCCGCAGTCCGTCCTTGGTGAGATCCGGAATCATCGGCTCTGGCGAGTCCCAGGCCCCTCCTGGCCGCATTCTCACCGCCAGACCCGGGGAGGACTCCTTGTGGCCTCTGATGTGAAGCTCCTCCTTGTGTGATGGCTTTCCAGAGGCAGCGGCATTGGGGTGATAGGCCCCCAAACCCCAAACACAAATGCCCAAACAGGCTCCTGTCCCCACTGTCATCAGGGACCCTCCCCCACCCCCATCTCTCACGCCTCGGAAATGCCATGCTGAGAAATGGGAAGAGCCCGGGGAGGTGGGGAGGGTGTACAGCCCAGGCTGGGGGGATTTCATCTGCCCCTTTCTTTCCACCAGGTGCGCAACGCTGGCTCAGGTACAGAGACCCAGCTCCGTGTCTCGTGGGACGGAGTCCTGCATGCCGAGCAGACTGGGCGCTGGTGGATTGTGGGGTCGGCCTGGAGTGGGGCCCCAATGATCGACAGCAGTCAGCAGAAGGCCCCACAGAAGCATCTTGCAGGGCCGGTATGAGAACCCTGCTCCCTGCTACCGTGTGTGTTCCCCGTGTCCCCCCACAGGTCTGCTCCACTTTCCCTGGGGTAGCCGCCTCTTTGCTCGTCAGATGATCACTGAGATGTACGTGCATGGGTTTTTTGAAGACCTATAGAAATTGCTACTGCTTTGCAATGTAATTAAATTCAGCTTCTGTTGTTTCTTCTTAAAGTCCAAACACGTTATGTAATAGACCTAAAAGGTGATGGGAATGGGGCCCCCATGGAAACAGCACTTGGTGCAGCACCAGGTACAGAGACGCAGGCCCATCTCCCAGGGAGGTGGCTTCTGACCCGTCAGCCTTAGATTTCAGAGAGTGAGGACTCTGCACTCTGTCACTTACTAATTGAAGTGCCCCTGTTACTCAGACTTCCATCCTCTTCCCTAATGTCCTCGTTCTGTCCTGGGGCCGCATCACACTCTGTGGTCCTGGCTGTGTGGCCATGGCCACCTCTCTGTATTGTCTCACTGTAGGCTGACAGGTCGCATGGCTCTGACAAGTCTCCCAGATCAAGCAGGTCTCTCCTATGGCCTGCTTTGTCTCTTGCTATTTTTTCTCTTTGGGGTGGCCCAAGAATAAAGTCTTAGTAGTATATACACATTTATTTACATACAATTTACAATTATGGTCAAGCTATAAAATTATACACATTATTTTTTAGCAACTGCTGTGACTGCACTATTCCAAAGGAACAAATCTCCTTGAAACATATATGTGGTCTGTGATTGTCCTTCTTTTCAGGTTAGCACGAAGATACTAGAACTTGCCCGAAAGCAGAGAATGAACACCGACATCCGGAGAAACATATTTTGTACAATAATGACTAGTGAAGATTTTCTGGACGCATTTGAAAAGCTTCTGAAGTAAGCACGTGGGTGAACGCTGTGGCTGCAGTTCAGCCAGATGTGGAGGAGTCGGCGTGGGGTGCTGCCTGGGAGTGGCTGGACTGGCCCTGCTGCCTGCGCTCAGGCGGCCAGTGGGCAGCAGTCCTGCTGGTCGGCCATTAGTGCTTCCAGATGAGAGCATTTTAGGAGTATTTTGGTCACAAGTATTAGATGACCAACTGAAGATCCTCTGTGGCCCTTGGTTGTCATGAATCTAAATCTTCATATTGAAGTTGTCTAATAGTTTCTAAATACAAAACTTCCTGGTAGCGTTTCCACACTTAGTTGTAATACCATTTAAAAAGCCCCTTTGTGCTTTCAGAGCACCCCCAGCAAGTCTCATGAAATCTGCGTCCTTCATTTGCTTCAGTCGGAATGAAGTAGAGGGTCAGTGTCACAGGACCGCAGCGCCTGGCCGTGCCCAGCACTGCACTGAAAGGCGTGAAAGTCAGGCTGGAAGTTTCAGAGCAGGTGAACCAGGGAAGCCAGTGGGGTGACAGGAACCTGATGCCGCTGGCACGCAGTTGAGCTGGTCGTGTTTCTTACCACTCGGGAACCAGTCACGGGCCTCTGGCTGACAGAGCTCAGATGGGGGTCCCACCCACGTTTGACCCCGTTGTTAGAGACCCTGAGCCTTGGGAGGTGGGGGGGCAGGGCCAAGCCCACAGCCCCTGACTTGCTGTCTCCACCTCCCCCTCCTGGGGTCCCTTCTCACCGAACTGCCAGACAGGAAGTACCCTCCTGAAAGACTCCTGCCTTAAAGCTGTTAAACTGGTAAATGAAAGGTTGCCTAGTCATCGCCATTCTTGTTCTGTAGGCTTGGCCTAAAGGATCAGCAGGAGAGAGAAATAGTTCATGTTCTTGTGGACTGCTGTCTTCAAGAGAAAACATACAACCCTTTCTATGCATTCCTGGCTGGCAAGTTTTGTGACTATGAAAGGAGGTTTCAGGTAAGGGAACCTCCAGCCACCTCCGCCCCGCTCCTAGACATTCTGTCCACGGGGCCCAGCTGAAATGAGTGCCCAGGTCCCAGCCCACCCGAGGGCCATGTGCACAGGGAGAGCAGCGGGTGACAGAGTGACAGGTCACCATGTCTGCGCATCACCCCGTCCCACCGCATGAGGCGTCCCAGGGCCCGGGAGTGGAGGAGGCCTCTGGCCTTTGTGCTGCGCTGCCCCGTTTCTGCCGGCTCGGGAGTGCTGCAGCGGGAGACATGATCAGGAAGCTGTTTCGGACTACTGTGTGTGGGGAAGGACGGGGTTGCTCTTGACGGGGGAACTGTGTGTAAAGTAGTGTTTCGAACTACTGTGTATAGGAAAGTCTTGATTTTTACCATGTTACAAATAAGCAAATGAGAAAACTTACAGGTTATTGTAATTTCCTGCATTTTAACTTTTCTTTTTAACTGTTAGATGACTTTCCAATTCAGCATATGGGACAAATTTCGGGACTTAGAAAATTTGCCGGCCACTACCTTCTCTAACTTGGTTCATCTGGTGGCCCACTTGTTGAAGACAAAGTCGCTTCCGCTGTCCATTTTAAAGGTTTGTGTCACGAGAGATCACTAGGGCAGCGAGGTAGCCCAGCGGCTGCTGCGTGTGGTGCCCACAGTATGTTTCCTGTGGTCCTGGCCACCCGGAAGTGTCTCGTCACAGCCACCAGCCAGCTCGGCGCACTGCGCAGATCTTCCTCGTTGTTAAGGCACAGCTCCAGTTGTCTTACCCTATGTGAACTGTCTCGGAGTTTGGGGTTCACGTGCAGTTCCCAGTGACGACAACTATGATGGCTGCCAGCAAGTTAGGAAAAGGATAGGGAGACGTAGGCACTGGGCTGGAGCTGCGGGTGGAGCCTTTTCTGCCTTTGCTGTGATAACGTTGCAGCAGCCCCCACCCCCCTGCCCGGCGCATTTCCCATCACTTCAGAGCTGGTGAGCTGCAAATGCCCTGATGATGCAGACACAGAGGACGAAGCCCAGACATGGGAGCTGGGCCCCCAGGCTGCCAAAGGCCTGGGCAGTAGGACCCCTGGGGGCCGGGAGTCCTAAACACCTGGCCTGAGAGAACCCAAGGGCCAGAGAGAACATTCGGGGCCTGGACTTCATGCCCTTCCTCCTGAGCCACAGGATGGACCGCAGCTGTGCTTTCCTGTCTGGGCTTAGGACCCACTCAGCAGCGCACTGACACGGAGGCAACTGGGGTCGTGCTGGGCTTTGCCCGCACTGAGTATGAGGGCTCTGGGCCCGTACACAGCCCACAGCCATGGAGGGTCCGCCTCCTCGAGGTGGACTGGATCTGGCCCCAGTTCACTTGAGCTTTGAGCACAGGGCTGAGCAGGACACAGTGCCTCTAAGTGTTTTTAATCTCTGTCTGCACAGTATTATGTATACTGTCACCAAACCCTTAATAGCCTGTCACAGTTCTTTTTGTTAATCGAGTGTAAACTGGAAATGTATCCATGTTGACACCTGTCATTCTGCTTCCTGATTTCATTGCTGCTGTGCAGTCCTCCCCATGTATGCCTCCTGTGATACAGGTATTTCTTCTAGTGGATGTATGTGCGTGAGGTAGTCCCTCCTGAATCTCAATTCTATATGTATATATTTACATATATATGGGTTTGATTAAGCATTAAAGCATGGAGATAATATATATTTCAATTAATTAAATTCCTGATTCATAAGGCATGCTCCCTGTTAACTTTAGAAATAAAGCCCAATTATTTGACCAGTAAAAGTGGGTGACTCGGGAAGAGCAGAGAGTTGCAGTCTGGACGTGCAAGCAGGCAAAGCCACAGGTGGTGCAGCCAACAAAGGGGGCAGGATGGGGGCCGGGAGGGGCTGTTGTAAAGAAAGTCCCCTGGAGAAAAGCGGGCCCCACTGGAGTGGTTTCCTGGTAGGAGGTGCCGCACGCATCTTCCCCAGTGGGGCCTGTCCTTGGGAACCCTGCCTGGTGAGGATTCCCCTGGGGTCTGCAGCTCATACTTCCTGGGACTGGTGTGGGGGGTGGGTACAGCTCCACTTCAGGGGCCCCTTCTTGATTTTTGCAGCCCTCATAAACTTTACTTACCTCTGCAGAGTTACTCCTAGCGGTGGTGTGCAGACCTCTGCCAGCAGCGTCTAAGGTTCCGTGGCCCCATGTCCTGGCCAACAGCTGTTCATTTTGTAAAACTGGAAATAGCCTTACTTAAAGGTGGGGGGAGATGAGATATGTGTGATTTTTTTTTTACTCTAATTTAACTATACTCAGAAATCATTGAAAAAGTTGGCTTAATCAATATAACTTTATTTTTCTATCCTAACTGCCAGGTGGTTGAATTCAGTGAGTTGGACAAGCCCAGAGTCCACTTCCTACGAGAAGTGTTATATATACTGTTAATGGAGACAGAAGTTGAAGACCTTGGTTTAATTTTTGCAAGGTATGTCCCCAGCTTGTGATAAAACATGGAAAAGAGATGAAGAAAAAATTCCACTTACATTGATTTATAAAAGCAAGGTTGTATTTATGTGTAGCTTTAATAAGTCATTTTCAGTTTTAATTTTAGGCTAATGCACATAACTTGGGGGACATGAAACTTGCCTAAAGGCAAACTAATAATAATGATATCCCACAAACAGAATATGCTGTTTTTAAGTTCTAAACTGAGAATTCTGTTTTTAAAGGAGACTAGGTTGTGTCTCCCTGTTGGAGGTTCCAAGAACAGGCCTGGGAGAGGCCAGCTCATCGCCGGTAATGCTTTGTACGATTCTTCCCAGAGTGTCCGACAACCCAAAGCTGGGCATGTTGCGGGAAGGTCTGAAGCTTTTCATCAGCCACTTCTTGGTAAAGGGCGTGCAGGCCCACCGGGGTGCCGAGGAAGCCGGCGTGCTGAGAGAGCGAGCCGACCTCACCACCAAGGCCCTGCAGGGCAAGGCCGCCCTGAGAATGTAGTCTGGAGACGGAGAGAAGGGGTGGCCCTCACCTGTACCATGTCCTCTCTAAACCCCAAGGGCTCATCTGTTGACCACACAACTTGGTGGAGCTAGACCAGTCTGTTGTATTTAAAATATTAAGATAATTTTTTTATCCAAGGACATAATTATGTTTCTGTTTTAAACCATTTAAAAATAACTGTATATATAGGAGGTGGGGGAGAGGAGGAGGGGGTGGGAGGGAGGGGCGGGCACTGGGCAGAGCTCTTTCATGACAGCATGGCCATTGAGTGACAGTGAGTGTCTTAGTGTTTTAATAGGCAGAATGGGCCACCAGAAAGGCGAGGGTATCATAAGGACATGTGTTTTTATCCTTTTTATATATTGGATGTAAGTTCAAAATCCATCAATTAAATGTGTCTGATGTTTAATTCACTATTTCAAGTATTTGGAATGCAGGTGTTTGGAAAAGTCCGCAATTGACTTTGGCTCACAAATATCAGTTCATTAGGTGTGAGAGTTTTTTGTCTTTATTCATCTACAACTGGCATGGTGAAGGACATTCCTTCCCACGTGTGTCTGTGGGTCATACACACCAGGTCCAGGTTGTAAAGCGCTTTGCTGAACAACTTTGAGTCACCAAGTGGATCTGAACCCTAACTAGGTGCTGCTCTCTGAGCTGGACCCTGGGAGGTGCTTCTCTGGCGAGAGACCCCCACTTACTAAGTACAGTAAACCCTGAATATGTGAGAAAGTAAAAATGGCCTCATGCACCTCCATCTGCCATAGAGTCACAAACACCTGTGGTTTTTCCAGCCCTTAGAATTTGCTTCTGCCAACATTATTTAAATGTCACCTTTGTTGCAATTATTATCTAAATGTCACCTTCAGTTGTTGAAAAAAGTCACCAAGATGTGAGTAGAGAATAGCGTTCATGCCACGGTCACACAACGGTCTGCTGTCCTTCAGAGCAGCCACCTTGGGAGCCTGACTGATCCGAGCAAGGGGACTCCTGTGCAGGTAGCGGCAAATGTGAGCCTCCAGCAGTTTGTTTAGGAATCACTGTGTGAAGTCGTGACAGCTCCATGTTTATCCTGACACTAAGGGTTCCAGTTTTGAAATGTGGAAAGAACATGAAGAACAACCCGCGGTCCCACATTTGGGAGCCCCCCCACACACCTAAGGCCGCGTCACCACCCTGTATCTTCTGACCAGTCCCTCAATTAGGCAATGGTGGCAGGCTGGAGGTGAGCGGACGGAAAGAGGATTCTCCCCAAAGCAGCCCGCGCCACGGGGCCTTGAGCCAGGTGTCTGCCGCACACCGGTTCCTCTGCCAGCAGAGCCCTGCTCTGAGGAAGGGAATGCCGACTGAGAGACTGCCTGACAGTCTACGTTCTGGTGCGCGGCCGTCCTTGCGTGCTGAGCTGCACAGACTGGTGGCCGTGTGTGGGCCACACCTGAGTGGCATGAGTCAATGAAGGGCACAGCTGCTGGGGTGGGGAAACAGCTCTGCAGAAGGAAGACGTCTATAAACTGGACTCCATTTTCATGTGGATCCTATTAAAGTATCTTTCTCTTCATTCTGGAATGTATTGTGACTTAATTCATTTCCCAAGTTACATCTGTATATTGCAGGTTATCCCTAGTCTGTTCTTAAGTGTAAAACCCCTTTTTAACAAAATACCACAGTTTATCACATGCTAGTAATTGTTTTCAGTAAACACACCTTGATCAAAAGTTGGAAATTCAGAATTGCTTTTAGATATATAATACTTTTTAAGTTTATTACAATAATGACCTACATCTGAAAAATACTGCAAAATGCTGAGATAATACTTGGTGTATGTATGAATTTTTGGAGTTCATGTGGTACAAGTTAAGAACTGAAAATGTATGGATAGAATTTCTGGGAAGCCGCCTGAGCGGATTTCATCTTCAGAAGCGTGAGGAGCTGTCACGCACTAAGGTGTCTGAGTCTTGCGTGTTTAGGGCCGCAGTGCAGGCTTGCTTCGGAGGAGGTCTGCGGGTCTCAGGCGCACACTCGCCTTTCCATTCCTAGGAAGCCTCACGTGGTTTAGGCGACGGCTAAGGACCAGTCTCTCCCTCGGCTCACGACAAAGCAAACGAGGCGGTGTTAACAGGAGGTGGAGTTTATGTAAAGTATGTTCTATCTTCTGTGAGTTGCAAATTATTTCAAAATAAATTTTACAAAACGCTCATAATGCAGAACTCATTCTTCAAAGACCTAAAGTGTTCTGATGTTTTTTCACAGAAATAATTACGCTAATTCCCACTGGCTCTTCACTTTTATAAAAGCTACTTAGGCCTCAGTCCCCAGTGGAGCGCTGACGTGGGGCTGCTGCAGCCAGGGGCGCTCGGTGGGCAAGGAGAACTGCAGCCCCGGCCTCCACAGACCCCCGGCACAGGGCGCCCCTCCTCTCTGGGGAGCTGGGGTGCCAGGCCAGGGTTTTCCTGAACTCTCTCACCAAATTCCTTTACCTGAGTGACTTTGTGTTTGACTCGTAAGGACAGGAACGCTCACTTCTAGAATCACAGCCTCATTGCCAAAATAAGGCCAGAGGTGTGGGGAGAACCCTGGTCCAGAGCCCCTTCAGCTGGCCCATGCCATGCCCTGTAATCCCGATCATACGTGGCTGCATTAGCACGGCACTGGGACACAGGGCCGGCCTGTGCCCTTCGGGAACAGCTGATCTCTGCCGAGGCCATGCCGGCGGGGTTCTCCGCTGCAGAGATGGCGCCCTCCCGCTGCATCTGTCTCGATGCCGTTGCGTCAGCCCACGGCTTGTCTAAGGCAGTCGTCCCTTCATCCTGGGTTCCCGCGGTCACACGGGAGCAGCTGGCCGCGTAGTTCGGGGCCCAGGGCCTCACCATCTGAAGGCTGGGCTGGCTGGATGGTGCCCCCCAGTGATCGCTGAAGCAGATGTGGCCCGTGCTGGTCACCAAAGGAGGGATTGCGCCTTCCTCTGGCCTTGGCCCTCCCCTGGCTGCCCCGATACCTGGTACCAGGACGCACCTCTCCTCCCATCAAGTCCTGTGAGGACAGCTAGGCCCCCGGGAAGGTGACCCAACGGGACCACCCCCAGGGCACCGCGGGACTGACAGCTAAGACTCCCAAACCCTCCACTTGTGCACAGCTTGCGGAGCTGTGGGTGAGCTTGGGGGGGCTCTGAGGCACCAGCTCAGGCAGGACCCAGACGACAGTGGGTATCTGGCGATTCCATTCAACATGTGATGGGAACCTGCTTGGCCCCCCACCGGCTGAGCCTGCGGTAACTTGAGAAGCTCAAAGCATCCTCCAATTTTGAGGAACTGGCCGCATAGGACTGCACACCCACAGTGCGATGGCCTGGCCAGCTGCTCCCGGAGGGATGGGCGGAGCTTCCCTAGGGAAGCGAGCATGGACTGGCTCTTCCGGGAGGAGAAGAAGGCCCTTCTGGAGGCAGCTCAGCTTCGGGCATAAAGCCCGGCCGTGGCTGGGTCCTCGGGCCCCAGACAGCAAGGGCAGAGGTGGGCGTAAAGCTGCATTTGAAAGGCTCCTTTCTCCACCCTGAGGAGTTGAGGTATCACTGGTCAACAGCAAGGATCATAGGCAAGGAAGTTAAATAATCGTGTTTTCAAAAACACGGCCAAAGGATGGCGCTGGGTGGGCAAGTGCAAATTCCGGCCACCGAGATCAGCTGGACGGCTCTGGTGACTTTCAAGTTAGAAGGGCCCCACCCAGGGTCAAAACAGGGGTGGCTGTGGAGAGGGGCATGTGGGTCACCTCCAGGGGTGGCCAGGACATGGTGCCCATGAGCCCACGGGGACAGGGCTGAGGGGCAGACACACTGCCTCTAGGAGTGGGGGTCCCCGGGGGTGAGAGGCGGCTGGGGCACAGGGCCAAGCACGGAGCAGCCAGCCGGCAGCCCCGAGGGGACAGAGTGGGCCCAGGAGGGACTGGAAACGGTCGGGGGCCGGGGCCTTGGGCAGCATCTAGAGCAACTCAAAGTCACATCCGGGGACTGTACATTAACTGGATCACTGTGGGCTTCTCGACAGCCTCCCATCCCCGCTGAGTAAGGAGGGCCTGGGACGGGGCACAGGGGCGCGTGGCCGGGCTGCACACTTCTCGGAAAGCAGCTGGGCCCGGGCACCGGGGGCTCCTGTTTCTCACCCTGAGCAGCCCTGGTGAAGCTGGCGGAGAGGGCTGGCTGCTCAGGGGTCGCGTTCACAGGAAGGGGGCTTTTATCTTGAGCAGGGCTGGTACATAATGAAAAATGATATTTGCATGAAAAGATGATGAAAGGGGAAACTGCAACCAGTTTAAATGGTCCTAGGCAGGTGGCGGTGATCTCAGGAGCACCCAGTCTGTGTACATTTGGAAAACAACGCCGCAGGTGTGCCCACAGGCCGGCCGAGGCACTGTGACCTTGAGCATGTCAGACGAGGTTGCCGGGGCCACTGACCTGCAGGTTGTCAAGCCCCCGCCCTGCTCTCCCGAGTGCAGAAGGAGGCTTCTGAGGAAGACACGAGAGCCCCCCACGGGCTAGGGTTAGGGTCAGGGCGGAACTCGGCTTGGGCCCGCGTGAGGATGAAGAGCATTTTATGAAGTGTTCTCTGTAGAAAATCACTTACAACGCACATGGATGGTTTGTTTCGTGTGACTTTGTCAGAAGGGTTTCCAAAGAAGAGGGCAAATTCCTCCTTTCATTTTTTTGATTTGTGAATTGTTAGCACTGGCCACATGTGTGTTTTCCCCCTGTCCTGCCAATGGGTTTCAGCCCCGGGCAAGTTTTCTGTGGATTCAGTGTGACCAAAGAAATTGACAGCAAAACGTTCATGGGGTGGAAGGGTTATACCCAACTTTATTTTCAGGTGGCAGGTCAGTCACTAGAATCCCGTCCACTCAGAGCGAGTCTGCAGGCAGCAAGCCGGTCTCTGCCTCTGGGCCCCTCCGTCTGCACAGCCATCCTCTGGGCCTCTGTCCCTAGCACTGCCACCACTCTAGCCTCTGCTCTGCTCTCCTGCAGCCATGCCACCATGTCGTGCCCAGAGCACTGGGCGGAGCTCTTTTTATAGAGTCAACAGCCATGTATTGCCCACAGGTGTGCAGTGAGCTGGTCAACCAGGGCCAGGTGAGAATCCTGGCCACAGGAACC